AGTGAATATAGTGTAATTCTTTTAATTGTTATGATTTTTTACTCTAGGATAAAACTTGAAACACTTTGATTTTATTACTCAAAGCTTGATTCTTCCACTTGTGATGAAACTTAATCATATAAAAGACAAGACGTACAAACTCTTTCAAGAATATGTGAGTGGAGGATCAAATTCATCAAGTACATCATGTTCTCAACTTATTCTTTCACGAGAAGAATATTTCAATATAGAAGAAGATCAAGATTCACATAATACAAGTTTGTCATTAATCCTATATGTTGTTATTATTTGTTATTATCTAATATTATTTATTAAATAATTGATTATGTTTTCATTTTATTGTTATAGGAATATATCAATTATATGACTTAAAATATTAGTGTTACTAGAAAGTCCGAGTTGAATTTATACTTGACTAAACACCACTTGAATCAAAATCTTTTTCAAAGTTAGATGTTTTAAGTCATTGGAACAAATAGTGAACGTTATCCAAATATTTATAGATTGACATGTGAGTTATTGAGTATACCAATAAGAACGGTTGTTAGTGAATTTTACATTGGTATTGGGATCACTATTTAACAAGTATCAATCTTGACAATCTTTAAGCATTAATTTTTACCTAAAATTGATTAAATGACTTTGAAAATATTAATTATTTAACTTTCAACTAAATGAATGTTTGAAAAAAAAAAAGAAAAACTTTGAAAAAAAAGTATATAATAAGATATTTTAACTAAGACTTTGACTTCAATGAATATAATAAAGATTTTTTTTTAATATTATGTATTGTAGTATAAATCTTTTATATTCATTATTAGTTACGTATACCCTTAGTTAGTTATGAACAAATGTTAAAATCATTAACAATTTATGGTTAACTGAGGTAGTTTGGCCAATTTATGGTTATGGTGGCGTGGTGGAATCTTCTACTGCTCATGTTGGTAAATGTTTAAAGAATTATTATATTTAGCCATTTTTGCTTATATTAATTTAGTGTTGAAATTGATTTGGGAGGAGAGATTCCCGTGGATGTACCTTAATTGTGTTTGTAAATTTGCATGGATTTACATGATTTGTGTGTGGGTGCCGCAAAACCCTCATATTTGAGGGAAGAAATACATTGATTTACAAAGAAAATGAAATAAATTATCCAAAATAGTTTTATGCACGAACGTATAATTAATTATGCCACAATTTTAATTTAATTAAAATTGTATTTCATAACTTTAGATATTTTTAATTATAATTAAAATTGTTTAAATAATATTAATTATATCCAATATTAAAAATATATATAAATTAAATATTATATTTCTTTACATTTAATATTATATATTACAGAAAATAGAAAATAACTTTTATATAAAATTATTATATATATATATATATATATATATATATATATATAATGATACCATTTAATTATAATTCTAGATGTATTGAAATTAAAACATTGCGAAAATAATTTTTTATCTTTTTATTTAAAAATTTAATAAATAGTTTTTAGAACTAAAAAAGAGAGTTTAATCTTTATTGATCTTAATACAAAAATATTAATATTACATTTAGATATAGAAAATATTAAAATTATATTTAACTTTTTTATTAATTTAATTAAAATAAAAGTTCTTAAACAAATATTACTTCTTGTTTTTAAAATTAGATTATGAATTAAAAATATTATATTTATGAAAAATGATAAATTTTAAAAAACAGAAAATAATTTTAAAATCAATATAATAATCACTCAAATTAAATTTCACTATATTTAATCTAAAAATTGAATATAATTTTTTTAATAATTATACCTTTAATTTTTGTCATTATATTAAAAATTATTATTATTTAATCATCTTATTTTCAATCATATCAATCACGTCAACTACGTTAAATTCAATAAAATCTTTTTAAATTTATTATTTTTTTCTCAACTTAAATAACTTCACAAATTCACTGGAATTACTTTAAATTTCTCACCTTACTCGAAACATAATGTTGAGGTGGGAGGTAGTGATTATGATCATTGAGATTGAGGTTAAAGTTAGTGGAATATTTTTGAAAAACTTGGCATTTGATGGTAGCGGATTCAAGTTTATGTTTAAATTTTGACCTAAATTGTTTTGGTGGAAAAAAAAGTGTTAATAATTTGTATTTAAGGTGGATGAGAAATTTCTTCCATATATTGAAATCAATCATAATTACTTTTTAAATTTGTATTGCCAAAAAAAAAAACAAATTCTGACTGATTCAGTTTTACTTTTTAGGTGATGTTATTAAATATTTCTTTGTTAATATTAAGTTCATATAAAAAAAAATACTTGGCCACACATTCTTCCTAAATGTTTGTTTAATCTGCTTATTTTAAAAGAAAGTAATTTTTTTGTTTTTTAATAAATAAATCTCATATGTTTATTATATAAGTGATTATTTTAAATTTAATGATCCGGAATTAGCTCATTGGAATATTTCTTAAATTACACAAGCCCATTTATTTTTCGTATTAGGTCATAAATTTATCATCAGGCCACTTGTCTCAGTTCGCAAACCTGGCCCTTAAAATCCAAATAAAAGCCCAACTAACGATCCATAACAGTAATGTAAAAAAAAAAGTGCTGGTAACTGGTTATTCGTGATATATTCATTGTTTGGTACAATGATTTTTTCTATCATTATATAATTTATCACTATATGAAATGGTACAAATATAAATATAATCTTATAATTGACAAAAAATTCTACATTGTAATCTCTAATAAGAAAACATTATAATTTTAATTTCTTATTAGTGTTTATATATAATAATATTTCATGTCGAAATAGATTATCATTGTTTAAGGTAATTACATTATAATAATTAGCGCTTTAATAATTAATCTTTCTTTAATTATTTAGATTAAAAAAATAGTGTTTTGGTCATAAAGTAAGATTAAGATTGAGAATGGGAACATGTTGGTTTACACGAATTTTATGTTAAAAATTTCTCTGTGTGTCAAAAAAAGAAAGATTAATCTACGAAAATACTTGAATAGTCAAGTTAATTTAAAAAAAATATAATACAATAATAAATAATCCTATTTATAAGAGTTTACCAAATTATTTTAAATAACAAATAATACTATCTTATTGTCATATTAATAACATATTAATTTGCAATTATTTAAAAGTAATGTAATTGAGTATATTGCAATTATCATATAATCATAAACACACTCATATTCCGAAAATAGTTACCCCTGATGACAATAGAAAAAGAAATTTTGGATTTATTATAGTAAATCTTCCTCTAAGGACAATAATGTTATTAATAGGTTTTTCTTCTCCACCGTTCCAATCTAATTTCGTCTCTATCTCAATTCGTTCTTATCATTAATTGCTCTTTCTTCTCCGTCATTCCACCTTATTTTGGCTCTTGTGAAATGGTGAAGGATTGTTTGTTTGGCTACACTACTTGAGTAGATGAAAATAAGAAAAACACGTTTGAAAAGTAATTTTAAGTATATTTACCGTTTGTTTGGATGCACCTTTGAGAATTGGTTTTCCGTAGAGTTTTCATACTTACCATGTGCCCACTAGTGACAGTGCACGTGAACTGAAAGCTTTTTTTATAGAGAACCCTAAATTTTTTATAATTTTACGCGTTACAAACATAAATGTAATATTATAAATATTTTTATTAGAATTAGAATTTGATCTTAGTTATATGTTTTAATGTTTAATAAAGTATTTTCTTGTTATTAATTGATTTAAAAGGAAAATAGGAGTGATTAATTTTGCTTAACTATTTTCTTTAACCTAATTAAGGATAAAGTTAAAGAATAATGTGTGGTGTGGTGAGTTTATTCAACACCATTATTGCTTAATCATTATTGCCATTGGTGAGGAGTCTCTTTCTTTTTCTAATCTTGCATAAATTTAAACAACACTTTCAAATCAAAATGTTTCATATTGATTCTCTCCAGAAGCAAAATTATATATGCCTTTCAAATAAAATATAACATATTGTACCAAGAAAGCAAAATGAACTAAGTCAACGTCACTATTATATTAATCCTATTTCTCTATCTATCTATCTATATATGGAAATATTTATTTACTTTCTATTTTATCATTTAGTTTTTATTATATAATTTTTTTAATTATTTTAGTTTTAGTTAAAAGTTTCTTAGAACGTGAATGAATAAAGTCATTATATTCCAAATTTATATTTATATTTTTAACTTGAAATTTAATAATTATTATATTTGTAATTTTAATTCTTAATTAATCTTTTTCGTAAATATAAAAAAATTACATTTTTATATCATTGTAAAAATAAAAGATAAAGAAAAAAATTATGTGAGGACTAAAACATGATATTTTAAGTATATGAATTAAGATAAAAAATGAACACAGATAGATCAACCACATTATTAATTAAACTTTAAGTTTATTATTTAATAACCCAAGAGCTTTCGTTTGCTAATTAAATGTGTTTAAATTCAATTGTAATCATCCGTTGAAATTAAATATCAATTGATGTGATTTTTCATATCACTCTTTGATAGGGAAAAGAAAAATTGAGGAAATTGAAATAAAAAATACAGTGAAAATAATAGAGTATTAAAAAAAATATATAAAAGAATATAATTAAATTTACCAATAAATCTTAGAAATTTAAAATTCTTTTTAAAAATAAAACACCCAACATAAATTCAACCGTCACAAATTGGTTCTCTATTTTTCTTTCTTTTCCTTTTCCACGTTTGGCAATTTCTCTTCTCTAATGCACACACTAACAGTGACACACCATTGACTCGACCCCACGCACACCAGTATTTCCACAGGTCAATTTCATGACTTCCCTGTGACTCTCTCTTTCTCTCTCTCTTTTCTGTAAAAATTATAAATCTCTTTCTCCATACCTCACTCTGTGCCTTCCATTCCGTGTCTCTTTCTTCCCCAATTAACTATTTTTTACTTTCCCAATTCCCATAAACCATCTCCAAACGCTTTCCCATATGCCTCCTGCCAAAGATACATCCATTCTCGACACAAAACCCAAATCTTCCTCAACCTCAACCACAACCACAACATCACAACAACAACAACATCATAGGACTAGAACAATCTTAATGGCTCAGGACATCCTCAGAATCCTACCCACCCTCCTCTCCGCAGCATCCATCGCAATCACCGTCACCAACAACCAAACCGTTTTCATCTTCTCTCTCCGATTCGAAGCCCACTTCTACTACACACCCTCCTTAAAGTAAGTGCCCACTACATTCCAATCCCAACACCCACTTTCCACTTTCCATTTTCCATTTTCGCACAAAGATTTCATCTTTTTCTTCTCTCCAATTACCCTCTCTCTGCCTTTTTCTCCCTGCCACAGGTTTTTTGTTGCCGCCAATTCTGTAGTTGCTGCCATGTCCTTCCTCACACTCATACTCAACTTTCTCATGAAACGTCAAGCATCACCCAAATACCATTTCTTTCTACTCTTGCATGATATAGTAAGCTTTATTTTCACCCCTTCTCCCGTACGAGTCCAAAAATTACACAATTCAGGAACATGTTTGTTTTTTAGTTTATTATTGAGTATATGAATCAATTAAGGTTGAGTTGTGCAAGTTTAATTTCACTTTCTTGTATATGGCTTTGTTGTCGATAACAAGTTTATTTTACTGGAACAAATTGTATCATGTTTAGAAAGAACAAAAACATATATCCAATACCATGTGTACTCTTAATTCCAATCTTTAATTAGAATTGAAGTTTTATTTGGAAAATCTTATATTAATACAAGCTTTAGTTAAATATGATTACATATTACTGCATGTAATTTTAAATCTGAACTAAAAATATTACAACATTACACATCATCTAGCTTATGTGATTTCAGTTCATCCCACGACTAGACCCAGAACTAGACATTTCTTTAATGAATAATCTGATAATAACGGTAAATTCAGAAAATCTTGGAAGAAATGAGGTTTGGTAGCTTCTTGAAAACAAAATTGACTTGTGTTTACATCCATTTTATCCACTGATGCAATAATGAGAAGAGGGTGGATTACTAATTGACTTTGACTGAGAAAAAAAACTAGTGAAAAGAGAATTTAAACTTGATTTTGCAGGTTATGACGTTGCTGTTAATAGCTGGATGTGCAGCAGCAACTGCCATAGGATACGTGGGACAGTTTGGAGAGGAGCATGTGGGTTGGCAGCCAATATGTGACCATGTGCACAAATTCTGCAGAACAAACCTGGTTTCGCTTTTGCTTTCTTATTTTGCCTTCATCGCCTATTTTTCAATCACTATTTTATCAGCCTACAACTCTGTCTTTTCTTCTCCCAAGAATTGATCCAATCAAAACACACCACCAACACCATCACCAACCGTTGCCAACTTGGCTAGCTAGCTAAAATCATGAGGGTGGATGAGGGATTATTTTATATGTATCTCATCTTAACATAAATGTTGTGTATGGCTCATCAATGCTTGCTACAACAGCAAGTAGAGTAGGAGTTAAGAAAATACTACTTACCAATCATAACGAAGCTTTACTGTAAGACTGCATTTATTTATTTTTCACTGCAATGTTTATTATATATCCATCATTATATATCTTGAATAATGACTTAGTGGTTGAAACAAAGGGAATTGATTAACCAAAATTTTCAATATAAACTTGTAATTGACAAACTGATATACTGTGTATCAACAACAATACCCTCATTTTCGACAAAATGCATGCTGTCCGGGAGACATATTCCTAGTTTCTCACTTCTAATGACTTCAATAATGATGATTCTTCTTAAATGTTGTACAGCATTTTCGAAAGACTAATAATTTGGAGTTTAATAAGATATTTTTATTTTAATTACTATATATAAATTAAGGCTATTTAAATATTTTTAAATAATTATGTAACTTGAGAAAGAAAGCAATACCTCGTAAGTAAAAATTAAAACACCAATGATACTCTCTTACAATATTTGGTTTCATATTACTTAAACATGTTTACATTTTTTTTTTAATATTGACACATAAGCTAGTTTCAAAATAGTTAATATAGATTTTGTCAATGTGTTTTTCAACCAATTTGATCCAATACAGACTGCAACTGCCAAACAAATCAATAATAAAAATTCTAGTTGAAATATTCTAGTTGAAAATCTAAATGAATAAAAGTTGAAAAATTTAATAATTTATAAATAAAAATTTTCATAATAAAATTTTAAATTAAAAATAATATTTTATTGTTTTATACAATTGACTTCTATTTTAACCCCTTTCGAAATATCTGATAATTTCTCACACAGTTTCTTAAATTGACTAAAAAAATAAGGAATTATTTATTGTGGTGCGTACCTCATACAGATGTGAAATTATCAATTCACTGTAAAATGCCCACTGACGGCGGGTACACGTCTCCAAGAGAAACTTAACATTAATGTTTATATATAAAATCGATACTTTTATTTTTATTTTCAAATTTAGTCTAAAATATTTTTTAAATAAATAAAACACATATTTATTATGGGTTATATATAAATACAAATTATATAATTTATTATCATTAAAAATTATATCACAAATTTATAATTTAGCTATTTAGTTTAAAATAAAAACATAAATGTTATATATTTAATTTATTTTTTAAGTGCATTCTAAATATTATGAATATATAAAAGTATTTTATCTCTTAATAATATATTTATTTAATATTATTTTATACATTATTTAATTAATATTAATTCTATTATACTTGGATTGAGCGTAAATGACCGATGTGCATCGTTTCATAACGAAGAAAGAGAATAAATAAAAGAGAAAGAAGTAAACGATTTAAAAGAAAGTTGCTTGAAAATAAATATGGAAAAATTTGACTTATTACTGTTATTTATTTATATTAATATTATTTTTAATTATTATTTTTATTATAGTTATTGTTGATTTTATTATTATAAAAAATTAAAAAAATCAACTCATTTACATAATCCATCATAATCACAACGGATAATTTTTTTCGGATTATTACGAAAAAAAATAAAGTTTATTTTCTCTTTAATTTCCTTATTTTTCTTTACATATTCATTCTTCCAAATAATTTTTTTTTCATATATCATCTTCTCCTTTTTCATTTCTTGTTCCAAAAGATGCATCAAAGTTATCATTAAACTTTGAAATAGTGATTCGGTTCTTTTGATTTTAAACAATTTGATAATTACAAGTATCAAATTTTAGTCGGAGTGATATAATGTATCAAATTCTTAATTTGTTAAAAACGAGATGAATATTGGTTTTTCATAGTTGGGTATATATATGATCTTTATTGATTAATTAATATTTTTTACATATTAATTACTCAATTACAATAATTATAGAAACTATTAGTTTTTGGCGTATGGCGTTTTCGTCTTTTAGTATAAAACATGTAAACACCTATCCATGACTTTTCGAAAAGAAACAAACAACGAAAATGTTTTTTTTTTATTCTTTTACACCAAACTATTAGTTATACAGTGTTTATATTTTATATAAAATAAAAGTTAAAATTATTTTTAGTATAACTTAATTACAAAACATGTTTTATATTAATTTTTAAATAACTTATATTATTTCACTATTTAGAGATAACAAATAGTTATTATATATACTGACAAAGATTATATGAAATGATGACTTTACCATTTACTAAACAATCAAGTTAATGAAGAGTTTGATATGATAAAAAGGAAAATTTCCAATTTTTGAGAAATGAAAATTAAATTTTGTATAGAAAATAAAATTAGAATTAATTAATTTTGGAATTTAACATGAGAGAAGAAAAGCACATGTAAGGTCAATGGTAATCCAAAACCCTAAATCATGCTGAAAATAATTTGGACATTGATTTGACACGTTGGCATAATGGAGGAATATTTACACAAAAACTAATCATGCATTCGTTTCCAACGCGGAAACGCAGAAAAGCTTGACTTAATCACGTTTGGTAAGAATGATGTGCATGGATAATTTACTTTTTTTTTTCATTATTAATACCTTGTTTTTTTAATAATCCTAACAAACAAGACATAAAAGAAGGCAAATTGATAAAAATAATTATGAAAATGGATAAATTTATTAAAAAATATTAAAATAGATAAGTTATATTTAAAACTATGATTTTGAATATAGAAAGATTTCAAAGTCAGATTTTAGTTTTTAATTTTATTTTTTTAATCCATGATTTAAAATTAGAATTGTAAAATCAAAACCTTTTCAGTCTTTTTAGTGTTTCTTAACCTTTAATTTTTTTTAATGGTTTATGTAAGTCACGGTTTTAAAAATAGTTTTATTTTATTACAAATTAGAATGAAACTTTTATGAACATAATTTTTTTTAAATAAAATATTATCTTTTTATTAAAAATCAAACAAAATAAAAATGGTTAAAAGTTGTGTTTTAATATATATATATATATATATATATATATATATTATTTTTTTTTTTTTTCAATAAATATCAAAAATCACAAAGTTACGTTATAATTTTTTTTCTATTTAAAATCGTGATTCGAAACATAATTTTTTTTAATAAATATTTTAAAATTTATTTGTTTGATGATTATTTGAAGACGTTATTCCAGTTATTAAAAGAAACAACAATGGCGGAGGAATTTTATAAGTATATGCATTCATCTTAGAAATAATCACACTTATTAAGAAAAAATGGTAAAGTACAAAAATTATTAAACGCTAGCTTATATTATTATTTTTTAAAAGATAACGCATATTTTTTAAGAAAATGTTCAGAATTTATTATGATAAATGAATTTTGTTGACAAAATTAAGAGATGGTGTCCAACTTCCACTATTTTCTAAGTATCAGTTTTAAAAAATAAAATAGTTGGATTTATTTGTTATTCTAATAATAAATAATAAATAATACAATATTAATAATAAACTATTAAAAATTAAATATTTTATTTATAAAGTTAAAAATATTATAAATAGAAAAACATAATTATGTAATTTTTATTTCATAAAAATTATCTTTTTACACTAGAGATCATTTATCTTATTTCAACAAATTTGAAACATTATTTATTTATTTATTTATTTATTTTTATCAAATCATACTTAGTGCTAATAAAACTACATAGTTGCTAGATATTTGTGGTGATATGTTGCAATAATTGATTAGGTTTTATATGAAAATGTATTTTTTTGTGTGTTGGATTTTTCCTTTTAAAGTTATAGAAATGATTTTATAAATAAGGGAAACTAAGTTTAAATTAATTATAATATTAAATGATAAATTATCTGAATGAAATAATAGTGTACTTAGTCACAAAAAGTTGAGGATTATATAAGAGACATGTTTTATGTCAAGTTATGAGTTGCGAAAATTGTATTGGTGATATTTTGAAATTGTTGTAACATATATATTGAATCACGTGTAATTAAGTATTTATAAAATATTTGAATGTTAAGAGTTAATGTTAATGAATTGATAACCAAGTTAAAGTGTTGTTATAATTGTGAGTTAAATATATGTACATTTTCATTTTGTTTGGATGATGGATTTGAGAAAAAATAAAATAAAATAAAGTGAGATTGTTTAAAAGAAAATTACACTTTATCTAAAAATATTCTTAATCAAGTTAACATATTTTCTACCATACAAATTAGAAATCCAAATTTTTATCTTTGTTACAAACATAAAAATATATAAACTCTTAAATATCTAACAAGGAAGATAAATATTTTGGACCCACCTTTATTAAAGATAAAATTAATCTCAGGTCCCACAGTAAAATTTCTATCATTAGAAATTTACAGTAATTTATGTTTTCGGTGCTTTACTTTTTTTCAATAATTTTCCTTTTATAATTTATTCTTTTATTTTCATAAATAGTTTTCATCTTAATAAATTTATATAAACTACTTAAAGAATATTCAAATTCAAGCTCATAAATATTTTTATTAAGTTAATACAAGAGATCAATTATAAAAGTGGACTTTATATTAATTGTCCAATAAAATACGAGATTGTATTATTATATTTCTACATTTAATTAAAATATAATTTAAATTAAAAAATTATTATTTACTAATATAAATAAAAACAACTCTGATAATAGTTGGTATTAAATTATTTTTCACTATAATAAGATCGATTTGTATTTTTCACTATAGTAAACTTTTAAAAAAATATATAAAAAGATTTAGTTATATGTAGCAAAAATAAATAAAATCATAACCTTTAAATCTATTGCTTCCGGAGCATGATGATCTTTCTTCTGGTGATGATGGATAAAGCGTTAGAGCCATGTAGGGGCAAAAGGAAAAAATGGTAATGGATATTCTATGAATAGTAACCTTGATATTCTATAATAATGTTAGCATGTATAGAAGAGTTTTAACATTGAAGAAGGTATTCAACTACAAAAAGAAAACAAAGAAGACCATTTAAGTTCATCAATCAGTTGGATTCTCATCACTATCTATAAGGTGCTCCTTCAATGGCTGTCCTAGAGTTTCCCAGTTTCTACTATCCCATGCTGGATCAATTTCAGGCAGTTCATAGTCATCTGGATGTAATGATAATTGAAACTCAGGAAGGTCTGGCAATGATTGGAGACCCCTGCATCATTCACAGAATTCCAATTTTGCATTAGGAATTTAGTTAATAAATAAAATGAGTTGATCACAACAAGAGTTGGAAACAAAGAAAGTTCCTTACTTCTCTTGCTCCCACAGGTAGCCATGCATCTGGGACTTCCTTGATGCAACTTCAGGAATTTTCTGATGTAAGAATTTCATAGCACCCCAGAGAGGAGGAGCCCTTGATAGAGAAATAGACAGTTGTTATTTAAGATAAAGCAATGTAGCAAAAGAAGCATCTCAGACCAGAGTCAAAGATCAATACCAACCTTGTAACTGGAGCTGCAAGGCAAAAGCTTAAGATGGCCTTCTTGCTTTCAGCCAGAAGCTCTTCTGCTGCAAGAAAACAAGACACAGCAGCAATGGAACTGTTCGGTTCATTACCCTTGTCAAGGATCAGACCATGGTAGTAGTAGGCTGCAGCCTGACAACATTATAAAAAGGATAAGGTTTGGATTATACATATAATGAGTTCAATGTAGTTCAAAGATTTTTATAATGCTAGCCAGATATGATGCTATAAGCAATTTTTAGTTGCATGAAAATTCATGATTAGATGATAGTATAGAAAATCTTTACATTGTGGGTGTATTCAAAGTAAATTCATAAATTATTGGATATGTCAAAGATATATTTTTGGTAGGAAGTATTTATTCAATCTTGATACTTTACCAACCTTGGCTTCAAGGAATTTCCATTTAATGAATCGGAGATGCTTCCTTCCACGCCCTTGGTTGGTGTCGCATCCTAGCAAGCAGTGATAAGCCTGCTCAAGAAAGTGAAACAATTTTCTTTGAGAAACAACAATGAGCACTAGAACTTACAAAACTGGTGATAAAAGGACATATTAAGGATAATGATGAATAGATGTTCAAAAGCATAGGAAATCGCAGTTATGAAGTTAGTGATTTAAAGCAGTAATGATGAATAGATGTTCAAAAGATTGAATGAAAACCTGACTAAAGTATATCAGCTGTTCACATGCCAACCTCCTCTTCACAGACAAAGTTGCCTTCTGACATTCCACCGCAAGACCAAGTTGAATCTCAGTTCCCTAAACAATCATCAAGAGGAATTATTATACCCAATCTGAAGGAGACTTGTTTTACAAGCTATAGTGGGAACCGGTCAATAGAATCAAAGATGAAGAAATGGAGCTTTGTGCCTTGTTTCTGCTTGTCCTTTGTGCATTTCAATAGAAGAGAAAAGGAAATGAAAACCATAGAAACAATCTAACAATTAGAACCAACAAAATATGTAAGGTATGATATTTGATCAACTTCAGGAATGAACATTCTACAGTTACAATAACTATACTAGAAGTAGGCTTCTTGGTGAATCTTACAGGAGGATCGTAATCCCCTTTTATCAGTAATCAATATATGCTTATTTAGTTAAAAAGTAGTTTCTGAGTATAAACTATAAGCAATTAAAATAAGTTTCTGTAATAAACAAGTATAATATGGTGAAGCCTATAAGCTACTCAAACCAACTTAAGTTTCTAGTGACTTACCTAAACACGCATACTCTTGCTTCTAATGAAGTGTTTAAATAAGTTGTTTAGTCAAATTGTACCCTATAAGGATCAAATGACTGTGATGGAAATTATAGATATATTGATCAACAAGTACCTGGCCTAGTGTTTGAATAGCAATAGCCTCCAATACACCCTCCTGCAGGTCGTGCGGAAAAATATTCCTGGATGTTGTTTGAGTGTGGTTCAAGTATTAAAAGGTGTTCAGTGCTGGTCCAAAACTTGTTTCACAAACATAAAATCTATTGAGAAACATACCTGATTTCAGGAGGTATCCGAGTAAGAATATCCCTTAAACAGAACTCCAGGTATCCTGAGGCCTTGAGTAACAAATCAATTGCTTCCCTCTTGCTATCTGGCAATACAAATATGCATGATTAATGATTGTTAAACTTGTGGATGGTTTAGTAGGATCTTGCTTCATGCTTCACTAGTACGCTAAAGCTTATGTATTGGCAGAAAACCTGAAGATACAACCCTGAATCCAGAGCCAGTGGAGTCTTTTGGAATCATCAGTGAGTCAGCCTCAGAAAGTGTCAGCATAGCCATAAGGTGAACCGCAGATAGCACCTCAAACCAGGTATTTGTTACACTGCTATCCTGCCAAATGGACTTTACCATGTTAAAGAAACTAAAATTCAGCAACGCTAACAATAATAATGAAGAATGAGTTTTCTGATGGCCATACTTGTTTCCCATCTTCTAAATTTTTCCATTTGTAATCTATTAGTCCTTCAAGACCATACTCTGTGACAAATGCAGAGAAAAAATATTCATTCTATAAAAAGTTTGAAAGGGTTTTGGAAGAAGGGAAGATTATGTGCCAATTTTCGAAACCTTTCTTCGTAAGGCCAATTAGAAGAGACAAATATTCATTCAAAGCTCGCCTCAATTCAGCTATAGCTGATCCACCTGCTCAAAATATTAAAATTTCAGATCAGCATAACATTTTCACATTTCACTATTCATTCCTTGATAAATTTATATTTCTTAACGGATGTTACTAATTGAAGAAGTGGATTTATTCGAAGAGATGCAGAATATAAATTCTGAATTTTAACTACTCATTGTGCTATATAGTAAAAACATTCAGGGATATAACCTAGTATTTATGATCCATTTTTTTGTATATATTTCAAGAAACAAGTGAAACAAATATATAAAAAAAAAAGGTTATTAAGTGTAGAAGAAAAGTCACACCAGTATCCTCTGCTACCAACACTATCTGATTCCTTAGTGAAGTCAATTTATCAGCAAGATCCCGTGGAATTACTCCCTTAAGCACCCTTTGAAGATCGGATTGCACAGGAATTCTTGTTGATGGAACAAAAACCACGACTTCAGGAAAGCTTGATTTTTTCTTCCTGTACACAGAGTAAGTGCACCCCATCCTTTCAAGCAAAGCATCCTACACAAACCAATCATTCATTTTCACAACCTGAGTCCATCACAGTGGCAGTGTTATGAAGAAACTGAGCATTAATGGCGACATGGACTTGATGAGGTAATAAAGGATGGGACTTCACATAAGCATAGTTGGCACATTTTTTAACAGCATAAAAGTGCTTGAATTCAACCCTGCCAAAGTGGGTTGGGAATGAAAAAACTTCATCTAACCACAGTTTTCATCATGACCATAATTGGGTGGCAAAATAATAAAAATAAAAATAAAAATAAAAAACAGTTGCATCGTCTACATGTGTGAGACAGAAAGACAGTTAATACTGGTGGATTCAAATACGCTTGTTCAAGAATATTAAAATTAAAATATCCAAATCATGGGAAGAGAAATAAAGCACACAAACACAAACACAAGTTAAGAAGGAATGAAGAAAGAAGAGAATAAAATTGTTATTAAAAGAGAGACAAAGTTTGGAACAACTTACTGGATACAGAGAGGAGAGAAGGAGGGAAGATTCTTGGAGAGGCAGAACATGTTAATATGGTATCTGAGTGAATTGGAAGCTCAAGAACCGAGACATATCTCACATGGCCATGGCGTAGAAGTCTCTGCTTCTTTCAAAGGACCACGTTCACTTGTATTTTTTTAGGTTTCAGTAAACGATTAACTAGTAGGACGTGTAGTGGACTGAGATTACTATTATTAAAATTCCATGCATGTATATTTTAGTATAAGAACATCAAAAACTAGATCTTACGTCTTATAAAAGAGTAAATACTAAGTTTGTTATTTGAATTTGTGGAGTGTTTGTCATATTAATCAGATTAATGTGTAATTGAAAAGAGTTTTGAAGAGTGTAACTTGATGAATATGATTGATTTAGATGGTTCAGATCTCATCAGAAATTGTATTACGAGTTGTGTGGTAGATTGGGTATGGAATGGAAAGTATTGGCACATGGTTTGAGGATGAAGGAAAAAGTGGGCCCCAGCATTGACGCCTTCAGTGAACTCGCACGTGCATACAAGATCGAAGGGATCACATAAAATTTTCACCAAAAGAACTATAAAAATATTTTTTACATAAAAAAATTAATTATTCAATGTTCGTTTATATAAAAATCATCTCTCTATAACCTAAACCCCCTCACTTCTTCTCTATGATCTCTTATCCCTCACACTCATCTCTCATCTCTTCCTCTTATTGAAACAAATAATACAAACAAAATAAGTAAAGAAAAAGTGATAAATATATCTCACTATAGACATATATAAAAAAATTAAGTACAACTAAACAAATGTTACATTATTAAAACATACTCCATCATAAATTCACTTAATTAATTCAACATATAAATATTCTTATCAAGTTTTTTAAATGGCCTAGAAATACATCGTATAGATCTTATCAATTTAATTCTAACTAGAACAATTCTAAATTACATATTTCTTAACCAATTATATGATATCACATTAGACATAAAATATGCATCAATTATAATTAAATACTACTTTTGATATATAAATAAAATCAATAATAGATACAAAATTATCTTATAATAACAGATAATTTATAGAAACCTTATAATAATAAAATTTAATAAACTCACAAATATATATATATATATATATATATATATATAATTTAACGTAATTTATCTTATAGATAATTGACATAATTTATTATTAATAATCATAATAATAGTTTGCTTAAAATATAAATATTCAAAAGTGTTAATTGGTGAGTATCAAACAACTGCATGCTTATATCTGAAGCACATGCCTATATCTGAAGCACATGCCTATATTTGAAACTCACCAATGAATAACATTAAAATGATAACAGTTTCTAGAGATTTCCTACAAACAGTTATATGTTTTAACAATCATTTGAGTTGAAAGTTCTGAAAAAACGAACATGGTTAAATGTAAAAAGAAAAATATTTTATGCCCTATGTATCCTCTATCAATCATAACATTAGAAAAGTCTTGGATAAAACAGAATCCTAAAACCACTTCTCAATATCTTTTCCCTAAAGAATTTTACTATCTGCCAACAAGCTTAACCAAAGATTGTACCTTTTATGAATTTATTTTAGTTGACACTGATTCTGCTGAAATTATCCATAAAAGAAACGAACAAGGAGTTATTCAATATTCTAAACTTAAAATTTTAAGAGTCCTTTCCTCAGAGGAATGGAATAACCCTCCTTATCATTCAAAATCCTTCTCTAGAACATTTAATCCTCAAACCTATGACTATTATGACTACATGGACGCATGGTATAACACTTTATACGTGTATCCTGATAATCATTCTTGGTTCATCTGGTTCAAGAAAGGAATTTCTTTAAAGTTTCCCAAATGGTTCATAAAATGGTTCTCTCACTTTGGACCACTTCCTTTTATCTTCCCTTCTAAAGTCACAGAAATCTATAATTACTTCCGTCAAAAAACCTCTTTTGATCAGGGGTATAGACTAATCTCCTTCATCGCCACACAGTCAATAACCTGGATTGTAGCATGGGATTTTACCATTAAACAATTATATGAAAATGTTGATATAAAGGCATTGTCAAGACAATTCAAAATTAAATGGTGGAAAAAATTTAATTTGGACATCATCAATAAACAAAGGATAGACATATGGCAAGCCAACTATCAACAAAGACAAGAAGCATCTTCTTCGTCAACATTAACTAAGGAGACATTATTTTTAGCTGAAAAACAAAGATTAATAGCAGAGCTAGCATCCGCATCAAGTTTAGAAGAAATGGAGAAGTTAATCAAAGAAAAGTCAACATCGAAAACTCCATCTAAAGAAAGCAGTGGATATTCACAAGCCTTCAATATGTTTGATTAACAAGACGTCAATATCAAGATAGCTGGAAAAGAAATTCAACGACAAGATCCATAAAAGAAGATTTGAAGAGATAAAAAGAAAAAGCATGAGAATGACATAAAGAAAAGAAGACAACGTTCGTGACAAGACAAAAAAGAAAAAGAAAGAAGAAGACAATTATGATAAAGTAGATTCCCCGAAGATAAGATAAGGGGTAGTAATGTAAATAGAAATAAACATAGTTTTGTAAATTTCCTAGTATCTAGAATGATGTACATAGGTTATAAATAGCCTCTTCAGTTAGAGGAGAAGGCAGAGCGAAAATAAGCATTTTCTTTGTACTCTGAAGTTTTCTAATGAAGTTTTCAGTTTTCTTCTATGTAAGTCTTCTTATTCCAGAATCATTTCCTTTATTTTCCTTTCTTTCTTCCAATATTTTATATATTGAAACTCTGATGTTTTAAATTTTAAATTTTATTTTAAATCGATCCTGTCAAGATTGGTATCTGAGCCATAGAGCTCTGGTTTATTATTCATATTTGGTTTTCTTGTGGGGGGGAATATGATCATGATTTTTAACAGAGATAGTATATTGGCTGGAAACCAGTTGTTTACCTCCCTTCGTTTGAAGGTCTGAGGAATTCTGGTCTAACAACGCCACGTACTAATCTGGAATTTTGAAAACTATTTTCATATCATTATGAATAACCAAAATGATGAGTTTGTACCCATAGAAGGGGCACTCCTAGGTTTAGGGTTCATAGTAAGGCCCCTACAACCCCCAGGTTTAAGTCCTAGCTTTAGCCCAAACCCAGCAATAGAATTAACTAAGCAAATCAAGAAACTTAAACGTAAATTAGCAAGGCATATAGCCCAAAAAGAAAAATTAATAAGAGAAAATCCAAATAATTATGCTTGGATCATAGTTTGGTATAGAAGTAATATTAAACATTTGGAAAATAGACTGAAGGAATTAGGTCACTTTGTTGCCTAGTTTGAGCTATTAGGTGTTTAGATTTGTGTCTTAACCCTAAATCCTTAAGTTTAAGGGTCTTTGGGACTCTTAACTTAATCAAAGGAATCCGTGTAGCACTGAGAGGTGCTCATACGTTGGTCAGCCCTTAGATCTGGTGGTCCCGGCAGTAAAACCCAGGAGGGGTAGTGAGTCCGTTGGTCAGCTAGATAGGCCGTGAGGCAAAGAGGTGGTCCCGTAGCATGGAAACCAGAGAGAGAGTTAGGATGCCTAATATCCTTAGAACTTTAAGTGATTTAAGATTAAGAAACAAAGATAAACAAATAGTAGTAAAAACGCCGCAACAAGAGACTTCAACTTCTTCAAGATCCTCAGATAATAAAGAGAAAGAATTAAAAATTGCAGAAATAGAAAACTCATTACATAACTGGTCAATACCTATAGTTAAAAAATGTGAAGTATATAAACAACATAAATTTTGGTCAACAAATTTAGATGAAATTCACATAGTTGAATATAGTTACCCAGGAACTAGAAATAATAAAATTATAAACATTTTAGAACAATCAATATTAGATCAACATATAAAAGATGATTATAATTTTATTCATTTAGGATTAATTCAAGTAGCCGCAAAGCCTAATTATAGGATAGGAATAAATAGCCCAATATTAATGTTATTAAGAGACATAAGACTTAAAACATTTAATGATTCAATAATCACAATTTTAGAAAGTAATTTACATGATGGCCCTGCATTTTTTAACTGTTATCCAAATTTCTCAATGAACATTAAAAATGATAAAACTAGTAATGCAATAAAGTTATATGTAAAAATTCTTGAAGAAATTGTAGACGAGGAATCAGGTCCAATACAGATAATCTATAGAGTTTATTATAAAGTAACTAGAATAGATTATAATTATAAAGCTTTAAGATCCTCGCCAAAAGATGAAACCATTTTAGTAGAAGCAAATCTTAGAAAATCTTCGGTCCAAATTCCTAAAAGATTAAGTCATGAAGAAGTAATAAGTAAAATTCCTGAAGAATGAAAATTAGAAGATATTATAGAAGAACCAAAAATTTATAATACACAAATAAGAGAGATAATTCAAGATGGTACTCATATCAGATTAAGAATGAATAGATATTTAACTTTTAAAAATAAGGAACCACAAATGATTTATAAAGGTCAATCGTCAAGACATTCTACAGATGGTTCAACAATAAATCTAAATTTAAGAGGATTAGATAATATTACACCTAGAGTATCTAAACCAAGTATATGAAGAGTCTAGAGAAACAGAATCCCCTCAATACTCTCCAACTACTTCGCAAATATTAAACTCAAGTACATAAGGAAGAACCTTTTAATATAGATAAAAATTGGATTAGGGAAGACTTTAACGCAAAATATAATAAACCTAATAAGAAAAAGAATACTTGTTGGAAATGTGGTAAAATAGGTCATTATGCTAATAATTGTAAAGTAATAAAAAAGATAAATCAATTAGAAGATGAAAAATTAAAAGAAAACTTATTAAATATTTTAATTAATTCTGAAGAAGAAGAAACTAGTGAAGAAGGAACTAGTAGAGAAGATAGTGAACTAGAATTAGAACAACTAGAACAAGAATCTTTAAGTGAAGAAGAAGAAAATTTGAAAATAATTACCTGTCTAGGTCCGTAATTATGTAGTTGCTCAGATTGTAAAAAAATAAACATGTTGACAAAAGACCAAACATCTACTTTAATCTCAATAATAGATAAACTAGAAGAAT